AGTGACCTTGACAATGAACCTCTAGTGAAGCTTGTTGGAGGGGAACTCATTGAAACAGTTGTTGCACATGATGTTATTGGACGCTTGATGATTCAGTGTGCTCTGCAACCAGGCCTTGCACAGGTTTACTCAGATGAGCCTTCACTACCCTTTTAAGAAAAGGGATTTATTTTCTTTTCTAAGAAAATTTTATTTTATTATTTTTTTTATATATAAAAAGCAAGAGTTTTATTAAAGAATTAGCAAAAAGGTTAGAAGCCAGCCAAAATCTCAACATCATACCAAAGGCTCCAAAATCCCTGAAACAAAACAACTGAAAACACTAGTAAAGAGTTTCAACACCCAGGCTAAGTGACCTAACACACAAAATTCTAATCAAAATGAAACTGTCTGCAGAAACTGAAATTCAGAAAGCAACCAGAATCAAGCCATTACCAGACAAAAAGGAAAAATATATGGAAACTAGCCACCAACCAAGAACAGCAATGAGGAAAGTCCACGATAAACAACCTAAAAAAGAGAACAGAAGACAAAGAACAATATCTTCCCTTTTAGAGGACCAGCTGATAGAGTTGTAAGGAGCCTTAGAATTCTCCAGCTCAGCCCCTAAGAAAAAGAAGTAGAAAAACCTTTAGAGATTCGAAACCACCCTAACCCCAAACAAAACAGCACAAAACTTACTCCATCATGGATGAGAATGCGCATGTTTTTGGTATTTTGAGAAAAAGGAGAAAAGGACATAAAAAAATTATGGTGTTTGAATTTCATGGGACTGCTGAAAAAAATTTACTGTTTTGTTTTTGGTGACAGTACCTTCAGTTTTGTTATCTTGTCATGCATGTGCCATGCTCTTTTAAATATCTATGCAATTCTAACTTTTCAGTTAGTATTGTATGTTTCAACAATTTAGAGCAATATTTTCCTTTGGCCAGATCTGGGAAGATATACTGGGGTTTGAGAATGCAGAGTTTTACATCAAAAGGTGGCCTCAATTGGATGGGCTGCTTTTTCAAGATGTGCTCATTTCATTTCCTGAAGCAATTCCCTGTGGAGTTAAGGTTGCAGCTGAAGGTGGAAAGATAAAATTAAATCCTGATGATAACTATGCTCTAAAAGAAGGAGATGAAATCCTTGTTATAGCTGAGGATGATGACACCTACGCTCCAGGTCCTCTTCCAGAGGTTATCCTTCTTTTCAAACTTGATGGAGCAGAAAGTTGGATACTTGTTGATGATTTTCAACTTTGGAAGTTACTACATTAAGCTTTTATCGATTCCTTTGATTTTCTGGCTAAAATCTCATATCCAGCTGAAAAAGAAAAGAAAAGGACACCACAATACTTTTGTATCATTTATATGGACAAGTTCATCACATCTGCCTGTCAATTTCTTTTCCACTTGTTAAACAGAAAAAAACACTTGCTACATTCCTAGTGAAAAAAAAAAGTATTTAAGATGTATTTTCTCATTTTACATGCCATATCTGTTTCCAGGTACGTCAAAGTTCTTGTCCGAAAACAATGGATCCTCCAAAATATCCAGAGAAGATACTGTTCTGTGGCTGGCGACGTGACATTGATGACATGATAATGGTATAATGCAGTCCACACACACACTCCCCTTTCCCTCTTGCATTGAAGGGGGTTGAATTGGAGTTACTGACTAATAAACAAAAGGAAAATTAATTACGGAGCTGCAACTTAATTTATGTTTTCTCAGGTTCTGGAAGCTTTACTTGCTCCAGGTTCGGAACTGTGGATGTTCAATGAGGTCCCAGAAAAGGAGAGAGAAAAGAAGCTTACTGATGGCGGACTTGATATTCATGGATTAGAGAACATAACACTTGTCCATCGTGAGGGAAACGCTGTCATCAAACGACATTTGGAGAATCTTCCTCTTGAGACTTTTGATTCTGTAAGTTGCATTACCTTTTTTGCTGTCTCTCTCAGTCTCACGGTGATATCAAAGGTTACTGCTTGTGGATCTTAAATAAGGGTAGGTTTTACAAGTGCTTGTGCGAAGTAGTAAAATGTCTATAATTCATGTAAATATTGAACCCAAAAGCTGAAACTATTAACTGGAGAGGCCAATGTGTCATGCAATGCTATAACAGGCTGTAATAGTTATAATATATCCGGATTAAGAAATGTGGGATTATTCATCATCCATCTAATGTTCAAGGCTAACAGAACACAATATTTATCGCCTAAAATTAGCGCATTGAGATTTTCTGACACCTTATTAACCATTCAAAGACTTCTTTTTATTTATTTTTGTTTGAGAGATTGTATTTACTCTCCTTACTTGATCAATGTGGGATGACACCACAACTATTTTTGGCTACTTGTTCACATATTAAATTTTCTTGTTATCTTACATGCATGACGGGTACAAAAACCTTTTTAACTTTATTCCACAAACTCAATTCCACTACTGATCACTAACTCTAAACGGACAGATATTAATTCTTGCAGATGAGTCATTGGAAGATTCAATTGTACATTCTGACTCCAGATCTCTTGCTACCCTTCTCCTTATTCGAGATATACAGGTAACTGCTATTGCTGCTTCCTTCCAATATTTCTGATATGATATTTTCTGATTAAACCCAATATTTTGAGTGCCTCCCCAGCTCTCATCTCTTTGTCCTAGTAATTTGTATTCACCCATGCCTTTAAAGACAGCCATGGTTCTGCTAGTAGGTCCCTGTTTTCCAGCTCTCAAGGTCAATGCATCAGTATATATGAAACATTTTGGATCCCTTGAACATAGTTTTATTCAGAAATAACTAGAATAGTTCTTCCATTGCAATTAGTGCAGGTTTAATTTGAACTTGAGTGAAATGGTTTGGCAAATTTATATGGAACTTTTGCTTGTGGAAAATTTTGAGTTCCATGACGATACTTGCATGTGTAGTTGTTACAGTTGATGCCACGTCGCAGAACAAGTAATGTTCGAGTGAAGTAGAAGCCATACTATCCCAAATTCCTTTCTTCTTTACTCTTTGCCTGGTTCAAAGACTATCCTGTTATTCCTTTTCTTTATATTTATTTGATAACAAGATAAGAGAACACGCAGTGGTATATTCAGTATTTTAGAGAACTTGTGATTGTTACTTCAGCTGTACGCTAATCATAGGGAAATATCACCAGTTTTTGTATCATCATCTTCCTTTTTCAATCAATTTTCCTTCTTTGAATCATTATACAATGCAGGTTGCGTGGATCATTTTTTACCGCCCACACATTTTAGCTTGTTATGATTCAGAGCAGTTGCAGCTCTACTTTAGCAATGTTTAAGATGAGTTTTTATGCTACTGAATGCTGATGATTGCGTTTTGTTCAGCTCAATATGGATTATTTATATATTTAATCAGTAGCCTTAATATTGTCGCCCATATTTTCTGGGAAGAAAAATGAATTCCATCCCGCAATCTTACTTGTATCTACAGTTACAGTGGAGAGGAGATTAAGTAATGGGAGATGAAGTAAGGGGTTGGAGGAGATTAGTTTTAGACATGTAGGATAGAAGAGAGAAGGTCTAAATCGCATGTGTTCTGCGTTTTTTGTTTTTTGTGCAGAAAACCAAAATTTACGTGTAAACCATTTCGCAGCCTGTACATGTTTTGAATAAATGATTGCTAATAAAGCTGCCTCTTCTTTGCCTCATGGAATGCAGTTAAAGCGTCTCCCTTACAGAGATGCAAAGCCAACTTCTTTACGGATTTCTGGGTTCTCTCATAGCTCATGGATCCGTGAAATGCAACAAGCATCGGATAAATCAATAATTATTAGTGAAATCTTAGATTCTAGGACTAGAAACCTCGTCTCAGTGTCCCGAATCAGTGATTATGTGCTATCAAATGAGCTGGTAAGCATGGCACTTGCAATGGTTGCTGAAGACAAGCAAATAAATCGTGTTCTTGAAGAGCTTTTTGCAGAGGAGGTACCTTCCATATCTTATCTGACTTTTAACGCTGTTCTACTTTGTCATACCTAGTTGTACTTAGAAAATATGTGCATGGATCTGTCCCTGCAATTGTTTTTTCATCTTCGAAACTTCAAATTTTTGCATGTTTACAACTTGTTCCAATTTTCAGGGCAATGAGATGTGCATTAAACCAGCAGAATTTTACCTATTCGATCAAGAAGAGATTCCTTTTTATGAGATTATGATTAGAGGTCGTCAAAGAAATGAAATTGTGATCGGTTATCGCCTTGCTAATGCAGAGCGTGCCATTATTAACCCTCCTGAAAAGTCACAACCAAGAAAATGGTCCCTTGACGATGTTTTTGTTGTCATCTCTTTGGGTGACTGAAAGGATCCCTCTTGCTTTCCACTGTCTTTCTGCCAAGCCCTCTCGCCTGTACATTTACACCAATCCCACCACATCTAACTTCGTTGCTGTTCCATGGGTGCTGGCTAATTGTAGCTCGGAGCTTTCTAACCGACAGAGGCAGGTACTTGTGGTGGAATCACAAAGTAATTGAAATTTGACCACGGAAAACATGTACAATTGCAAGTTAATGTGAAAAATGATTAGACTTTGTTGACTTGTAACATTTACTGAGGCAAAGTTCCTCATTAATCCTCTTCATTGTATGAGTTAGCAGGCATTAATTTTGGCAAACTCGTGCTTCTGATCCTTGATATAGCTCTGTATCTTCTTTCACAGTTCCCTGCACCGTAAGATTACACGAAAAAATAGATACGTTCCATGGTTTGGATGATGCAATAATGGTGATAAACATTATTGGTATTAACTGGAGGATGAAGCCATTTGATGGCCAATTCTGCTGTCAAAAGACATCTACTGTACTCATGAAAAATGGCTTACAGGTTTAGTCTAGTGTGTCACAAAGCAGACCTAGTTGACATGGTCTGTCTGAGACTCAGTAGTCACAACGTAGATGTCTCACATAAAAAAAAAAAAAAGAAGGCCACTTGGTAGACATCATTACAGAAAAAGACAGGTGGTTTCCATTCCTCTTCATTTTTTACTACGTCAGAGAGGGCTACTGGACAAAGCAACACGCAACACAGGGGTGTAAAGATTCTGTGTAAGAAAAATGTGACCAAATATTTTGAATAGAACAATGAATTCAGTGTATGATCTTGAGCCAAACATCTAGAATGAAATATCCAAACCATATGATGATGGTGATAATGCATCTTACCTATAGGCTTTGGGTAGCTAGAGAAGGCATGAAGAGTACGGGTGAAAGTAGCAGGAGATTTTGGAAATTGAACTTTGCAACATGAAAGATGAGCTGATCAACTGCAAGTTTGTCAAGCCACCTTCCCATAATTGCTGTCACATGCTTCATCTTGTCCTCTCCTCTAAGTTCCTAGGAAATGTACATGTCTGAAAGATTCATTACAATTAGCCGGTCTGATTCAAGTAAACAGAAGCCAAATACCGATACCATAGTTGAACAGCCTGGAATGCAATCATTTGAATTTCAGTTATACCATCAATTTGTAGAGATAATACAATCCAGATAATAACAACGATCTCCAAACAAGTGTGAGCGCATGACATCGAGAGAGGGGGGAAAAAAACCCACTAACTTTGAATTTTTGCAAGCATGTCTACTTGAGTCTAGGATTGAACTTCTCGTTTGTTTTCCTTTCATGGACTAAAAACAACAGTGTACTACATTTTTACTATCTTGCAAAAAGAGATGTAGGCACCAATACTAAGTAGCGCCTTTGAAGTCTTGAATAACAAGGCATGGTAAGGGTTGGTGCAGGCATCAAAAAGCACTGAAACCTGAAGAACAAGGTACAATAGCTAGCCATTGTCACTTCCTGGCAATGTGAAAATTGACTTGATAAACCACCAAAATCTAGTACAAAACACACACACACACACACACCCCTAATGTCCTTAGGGAATCCACCCTATTCAGCCAAATAATCAAACGGCTACATGGTCAAAACCACAAAAGGCTACTTGAAAGATATGGAAACCAATGAGTATTTTAAATGCAGAAAAGATCGCAGAAAAAGAAAACATAGGAGAGCTATAAAACAGGCAAACAAGAGAGGATAACTTATTTTAAGTTCAGTGTCTGCCTAATTCTTGGGAAGACCTAGCCATAGACATGTTTCAAACACGATAACAAAATTTATTTAGACAGTATGATCAATATAAGCATTTGTTAGAAGTGCGCCTGGGGCCCCGTGCAAGGCTCCAGGGAAAAGGGGCCTTTAAAGCACAAGACAAAAGTGCGCCTGGGGCCCCGTGCAAGGCTCAAGGGAAAAGGGGCCTTTAAAGCACAAGAGGTTTAAAAGATTCCATAGCAAGATTAAAGGCATCCTAGTTGTCAAAAATGAATTCTAACCTTACAGTGAATTACATTTAATAATGACCGCGGGAGAAAATAATGTGCATACCAATCTCCTTCAAACATCAGACAATGGCCTTTTGATGAGCAGTTGAGCACAAATCCCAAGACAGCTTCATAGAATTTCTGGGTCCCTTCCTTCAAGAACATATCATGCTTCACAGAAAAAATTGTGAAAGATAAACTACGCTTTGTGAAGGCTGCTGACAAGTGAAGTATAGACTCTATCATCAGGTGTAAGACCTGCCTCTGTCATCTCATCATACAACTTGAATGCTTCTTCAGATCTTCCTTCCTTGGACAAGCCTGAAATTATTGCTGTATAAGTGACTACATTGAGAGGTAAGCCCTTTTGGCGCACTTCATTGAAGAGTTCCACTGCATCATCCAGCTTCCCGAAAATGCATTCTCCATGCAAAAGTGATGTGTAAGTATATATGTCTGGGATTATCCCTTTTGCTCTCATTTCATCTCTTAGCTCATAAGCTTCCTTCATCCTACCTTTCTTGCTGTACCCATCAATTAGAACATTGTATGTAACAGCATTAGGCTCTCCCCCTGCTTTCTTCATTTCTTGAAACAGTTTCTTTGCTTCCACAAAATTCCCTTCCTTGCAATATATGTCAATTAAAGTGGTAAAACTGACGACATTAGGAACCACACCCTTTTCGATCATTGTAAGTAACAACCTCTTTGCTTCTTCAGGCTTGTTCAATTTACGTAACCCATCAGCAATTGTGTTAAGAGTATAGATATCATTCTTAAATCCTTTCTTCTCCATTATGACTTGCACCTTAAAAGCTTCATCTATCAACCCCCTTTTGCAATAACCATCTATAAGCGTGTTATATATCAGTTGATTGACATCAAGCCCTCGGGTTTGCATCTCATTCACCAATATCTCAGCTGCCTCCATTTCACCAGCCTTGCAAACACCATCAATCAATGTTCCATATGTGTGAACATTGGCAACAAGGCCTTTCTCAGTCAACTCATCAAACAAGGCAAATGCCCTTTTTGTATTTCCAATTTTACAGTTCCAATTAATGACCACAGTATAAACATGAATATCTGCTTTAATCCCTTTCTCACAAATTTCTTGAAAAATCCTCTCAACTTTGTCAATCTTACCAGAACTACCATGCCAGTCAATCAAAAGAGTATATGTAGCCGCATTAAATGCAACTTTATCCACTTCCATCAATCTCAACATCTCATTAACTCCCTCAAAATCCATTCTCTTAATATATGCATTTATAAGTGTGTTATATGTAAAAACATTCGGTTTAATCCCTTTGCTAGCCATTTCAATCATCAAATCCTTAGCCCTTTTAACCCTTCGTCTCTTACACAATCCATCAATCACAATCGTCAAAGAATAAACTGTAACCTCCACATTAAACTCAACCATTCTTTTAAAAAGACCCAAACAAGCCTCCATTTTATCACACCTCTTCAATGCAAGCAAAAACACAATACAAGACCTATCATCAATCTTTAACTCGTAGCTCACCATATAATCAAAGACCCGAAAACCCTCTTCAAACAAATTACAATCGGCATAAACCCTAAACAGCATATCACACAACTTCTCCACAAAGTTGGGTTCATTATTAAATCCACTCTCTTCAACCAAAGAAACAAGATTTGCAACCGGGCATCTAAGATTACTATCCATAGCAACATAAGTCAAAACTCTTTTCATTTCTGCAAACCTTCTAGCCTTGAACAATCTAAAAACAACGCTTAGATGGGATTGAAGATCAGGTTTATGTGAAACAAAGGATTGATTTTTTCGCAAAAAGTTGAAGAAATTCAAGCAAGAATGAAGCGGGACATTTGGGTTGGAGAAGACAAGGTTGGTTATGTGAGAATCCAGGTTGGAAAGCAAAGATGAGTCGGTTGTTTCGAAGGGTTTTAGGCCAGCTTTGATTAGGGTTTTAGCAATCTTTTGTGCCAATTCTGAATTAGATAATGAAGTGGTGCTTGCAGTAATGGGTGTTTTCTTGAATGTCTGCAACAATTTCTGTGTAGCCATTTCTACTATAATTTCTTAGCAAAAACACAAACACAAGCTAAAAGTTGTCAAACAGCAACGATGTCGTCCACGTCCATGTATCTAAAAACCTAGTAACCATCAAACTAACAAAACAAAGAAGCTCACCTGAAACACCGACGCCATCGGTCGGAAAACAAATCGTTAACAATTTGTGGCAAGTCACTTGCACCGCCAGGTGGTTCCGAGGTGAAGTGGAACCGATAGTACACAGATAGTCATTGGCTGATTGATTAAGCGGTCATGGGCAATAGAATTTCTAAGAGATTATTATATATTTGGCGTGAATTTTTAAAAAATTTTAATTACTACTTTTATTTAATAGAATTTCTAAGAGATTATTATATATGTGGCGTGAATTTTTAAAAAAATTTAATTACTACTTTTATTTTTTATATGTGATTATGTAAAATTTTAATTTGTGTGCATGAATATTTTATTTTATTTTTAATTGAGCGAGAGTGTATTTATTTTTTTATTTTAAAATATTTAAGTAAATGTGCTTTCGAAATATTAATTTTAAAATCTACCAACTCACAATCTTATGTTAGCTATATATATTGAATTTAATTAATAGCCTATTTGGTTAAAAACATCAAATTATTTGATATAAAAAATTATACTGTGTTGTTAATAAAATAATTTAAATGAAAAATACTATTAAAAATCGAGTCAATATTGGGTTGATGCGGGTTTTTAATAAGGTCAGTTAATTATTATTTTATTATTATTTTCAATTCAAATGACTTCAAACACCAAATTAAGCAAATCTCAAGCCTATTAAGGTTTTATAACAGTAATGGTGATGATAGATGGCCAAAAGTTGCTAGGTAGTGTTTGAGATTATAGTATACAGTGTTTTTAACAATATTATTCATTTAATATTATATTAAAATAATATTTTTAAAAAATTAATACATTAAAATATAATAAATCAGTGAAGGATTCTTTTTATATAATGTCAAACTAAATTCACATGGCCCTATCATTAAGTAAGAAATACAAGGAAAAAAATCCTCAAAGAAAATTAACTGTGTGGTT